TAAATAATTAAATAGCTTGAGCGCTATAGTGAAAGAAAGTAATCAAAGAATTAAATAATTGGATACTGCCATAAAACGAAATAAATAATATTTTAACCAAATCAATAGATTTGTGTGAGACGCGGAATTCTGATCTCACAGTAGTAACTGATAGAATGTATCATTGTGACTTGGGATTATTTAATTATCAAGTGACTTATACACAGAATCTATTGAAAAATGTAAGTGGGCAAGTGGCTGTTGATGAATTTGATAAAATACTATAGCCGGAATTCCTAGGTTTCCCGGGTTAAAGATATTTAGGCATGGTCTTGAAAACATAAAAAGATTTACTGCTGGTGAATTCTGTAATATGATGAAAGTATTAGTATTTGTTATAGATGGGCTCATTATAAAGTATCATAATACTTCAGATACTACAGTGAAAAGGCTCGATGAAGATTTTGCCAAAGCTCCTGATGAATATAAAAACAATATTACAAAGAATAAAGGAAATTATGATGATAAATCTGATTATGAATAGCAGGTATAACTTTTTTAAGTTTTATAATTACCATGATTAAAAGAATTAAAAAATAGATCAATATTGTAATAATAAGATTATTTTCCTTTTAAGGATTTTTGCTTTTTGTTGAATAATAGCACATCCTTATCCTGCCTTCTTTTTCTAATATTTCTTATTGGTTAATTATACATACATAATCTTTGAGGTACATATGAAACAAGAAGTATCACTACAACAATAAATATAAATAAAGCGATGAGTCCATATGGTTTAGTATTATTTTCTTTATTAGTTGAAAAAGACTCTTCATCTAATATTTAATTTGGTTTTCAAAAAAATTAAATTATTTTCTTGAATAAATAATTAATTAAATAATTAAATAATTTACCAGCAATATCTTGAAGTAATCGTGATCCTTCAGTAACATTATTTGAAGAAGACATGATTATTATTATTTTTGTTCTTATGAATCGATGATAATAAATAATTTCTTTCAAATACTAAAGGATTTAGAAATTAGAAAAAGAGAGAGAAAGGAATAAGGAAATTACAATTAAACACAAAGTTGGACGAAACGTCTAAATTTTAGGGGCTAACACATCATCTGACTATGATCAACAACTAAAATAAAAATTAATTTTGGATTTTGAGACACAAAGTACAATTTATTATTATCTTTTTTTAATCGGTACCAAATAAAATATGATATCATTTTTTTCTAATATCCTATAAAAAAATAATGTTAAAATTCCGTATTATCAACAGTAAGAAAATGATTCTTTTATGAATATTTATTTTTGAAGATTATTGTATATATGACTAATTTTTTTACACAATGTGTGATAATAAAGATAGCTATAATCCTGTCATGATTACAAATAACAGAAAACAAACATCCTGCTAATGATGATGTTGAAGAAGAAAATGTTAATAATAATAATGCTGAACAAAAACACAGTAATAAAATTTTAAATTTAAATTTTTATATTTGAACATTGGTATTACCAA